AATGGTGTCCAAACCAACCATCTGTTGCTTCATGTTTCTGTACAAGAGATGAGGACTTCTAAAGGTTGAGAAGATGAAGAGACAATAAGGAAATGGTGTAGGGGTATGCTTTCTGGAACCATGGGCAGCAGGGTAGGTAATGCCACAGGCTTGGTGCAGCTCTCCCATTTTCTCTACTCTGAACTGAACCCAAGAGCTGCTGCCACACACTGGAATGCCACACACACTCGAGCTGGGGAAAAGCAGCTACTCCAGGCTCAGGGTCTGTTCTGTCTCTCTTGCTTTGGGGTCTGAAGAAATACCTTCAGACAGCACAGCCCACCTCCCAGGAGTTGCCACCTCTTGCACAGTGGCCTCTGGCGAAGGGCTCTGACTCAGCATGATGGCCACCTCTTGTGCAACTGTCAGCTTGCTCCCAGCAACCTGGCTCAAGCTACATGCAGACGCCAACTGTGCCAGCCTGGAATGGACCTGGAGATGTTTTTGCCACCCTGGGGAAGTAGCCCATCTTCTCCCCTTCTAGAAGTAGTGGAGGCATCCATGGACAGGTTCTTTAACCTTTGATGATCTAATTGTAGTGGATACTAAACTGAAATTCCTTCCCCTTTAAATTCTCTCAATTGTCAAAAACATTTTATGTCAGGACTCAGTGACAATTAGCACCAGAGCCACCCCCAATCCTTCCTTTTTACTTTTTGAAATGTAGCCAAAAGAATAACAGCATGTTGCTTAAGTAGGAAACATGCTGATTGCAAATAAACTGGCCCTTCCCTACCACCTTTACATTCCCCCTTGTCCTCCCCTACACCTGCAGACCAGCACTCTAAGATTCTAAGCAAGGTCCATGTCAACTGGCATGAGTCCAAGTTCTTAACTACTTTCCTGTCTCAATCCAAAAAGGGTCTAAGAAATAAATACTGCCACATACAAGTCAGAGCTGCTGTTTATATATGTATAAAGTAGACATGAATACAATTATTGTTCTGCCTAAAGGCAGAATGAAAAGTTTAAAATTTTTTATTATTTTTATGTAATTAAGCATTTAAATAAAAATGTTAAGTTTTATTTTAAAAGATAAGAAAAAAATTTTTAAAGAAAAAAGTTTTCACCTGGTGGTTGTAGCACACGTCTTTAATTTTAGCACCCGAGAGGCAGAGGCAGGCGGATATCTGTGGGTTCAAGACCAGCCTGGTCTACAAGAGCTAGTTCTAGTACAGGCTTCAAAGCTACAGAGAAACCCTGTCTCAAAAACCCAAAAAATTTCAGCAATTGGGAGGCAGATGTAGGCGGATCTCTGAGTTTGAGGTCAACCTGCTCTACAGAGCAGCCAGGGCTACACAGAGAAAACCTGTCTTACCCTCCCCCAAAGAAAAAAGTTCTCATGTGCTTCAAGCTGGAGTTATCCTGAATCTCGAACCTTGCAAAACCAGAGTCTTGACGAGAAGACAACATGGCAGAGCATCTTTAGGAACACACCACTGTGCACACAAACAGCCATGTGCAGGGCAGCTTCTCCTACAGTTGGTTAAACAACACGGATGTAAAAATTCACTTTCTGTTGGGATCTTCACTCACCACCAGCAGCCTACATAAAGAACATCTGGACTGTGGCTGGGAAGGACAGAGGTCCTTGCAAAGCTCACCCTGACCAGGTCAGGGCTTGTGGCCCATGACTTCAGTTTTGTAGGTGTGTCTTCTCTATACCCATGGCTCTAGCAAAGGCTATAGTGTGATTGCCCCTCAGTTGCTTCCTGAGCCCTTTAAGGGCATTTTTAGGCTTCTGTCACTTGTCATTCATTGGGCACACTTATCTGAAAGCTCAGTTTCCATGAGGGAAATCACATACAAAGTTGTATGCAAATTGCATGTTGTGAAATAATAGTTGAAGATGTGTTACATTTGTTTATGCTGTGGAACATTTATTTAATGATGCAAAGATGTGTTGCATTCTTTTATGTCACATTTGTTTAACTCTGTGTTATTTACTTTGCCTGTCTAAAACACCTGATTAGTCTAATCAAAAGCTGAATGGTCAACAGCTAGGCAGGAGAAAGGATAGGCGGGGTTGGCAGAAAGAATAAATAGGAGAAATCTGGGAAGAGAAGACCGAAGATCGTGTAGTAAGAAAAAGAATGGGTCAGCCACACAACCAGATACAGAATAAGAAGGAAAGAAAAGATATACAGAAATAGAGAAAGGTAAAAGCCCAGAGGCAAAAGGTAGACAGAATGATTTAAGAAAAGGTGGTTAGAAACAAGCCAAGCTAAGGACAGGCATTCATAAAAAAGAATAAGTTTCCGTGTGTGCATTTATTCCAGAGCTGGGTGGTGGATCCACAAAGAGGAAAGCCAAAAGAGTAAAAAAACAAAAACAACAAAAACAAACCAACAAAACAAAACAAAAAAAGAAAAACAAAAAACCTCAAAACTATAATTCTGCAGGCACAGAATTAACTCTAATAAGCTTGATGCTAGAAAACAGAGCTTTGAATTGGTAGATTATAACAGTCTGTTTGTACTTTAAACTTGACTAAGTTTCATTGCTACATATTAATGAACATTATAAATATCCAGAAATAATAATAGTAATCATTATTGAGACTAGTTTCTACTATGTAGTCCTGGCTGGAATTATTATGTAGACCAAGCTGGCCTCGAACCACAGAGATCTACCTGCCTTTAACTCTAACAAAGTGCTGGAGTTAATAGCACGCATTACCATGCCTGGCCAGAACTTATTTTTGCATGCAAGTATCAGAAATCTTGGTCTTCCTACAAAGTGGGATAAATGTTGACACTAATAAGCTTCATGTGACAATACACCATCTACAATGAGGCAACAAAGGGAGATGACTGAACCTGGGATATGGAAGGAAAAATGTCTATTACTATTCTCTGGAAACCTGTGACCCAGCAAGCATGAAACTGGTCCTCAGCCACAGCTGCCCAGGTCTGGGCATGTAGTTCAATAGAAGAGTGTTTACAAGGCCATGGGTTTCATTCCCAGTACTGAACGTAAAGGTAACAAATAAGCACAGCCAGGCTGTTCTAGACCATCATGAAACACATGATAGCGGTCACAACTGCTTCACACACATGTCCACTTGCCTGTCAGTTCTAGTGCTGTGGAGCAGAGGGTACCCACTGAGTAGTAGCCTGCAGGAAGCAAATATTCCCACACGTGCAGCAGCTAGCTCTTGGTATTTACTGAGCACTAAAAATGCTGGTAAATCCTGCCACTGGCCCTCAACAGAGCTTACACCAATTCACACTGTTTTCAGTCTCACAAACTGCCTGTGCTGCTTTCAAGTCTGGAGGGGACTGAAGGCTTAGCATATACATCAGCAAATGGTAAAAAGTACCACAAATAGTACAACTATTGTGAGCCGAACAGGGAACATGTCAAAGCTTTGAGAAGAAATGGGGAGGCAGACAGAGGAGAAGAAAAAAGAAGAGGGATTAAGCTTTGATGCAAGTAGAGAACTTCTAAATACACGGGAATGTACTAACACAACTAACCTAGGTTTGGCTTTAGTAAATCATTTGAACCATGAAAAGAGAAGCTCCTAGTCACAGTATGTTACATACCAGTCACAGAGGTGAGAAAGCATGACCGATTGCACTATGTGACACACGGAGTAAATAAGACTGAGAGTTAAAAAAAAATACTTCATAACTGCCTCGAAGATGGGTCTGTGCTCACAATACACCTCAGTCTTAGCAGTCCTGCTACACGGCTGTCATTTCCATTTGCTGACACCTGTTACAGGCAACATGATACAGAGTGTGAAACTGAAACCATCTACCAGGAGGAAGCAGGAACCTTTCCACCTGATAGGAGTCCCAAGTGCCAGGAGTATAAGTGACATGGCAGCTATGGTCTAGAAGGAGAATCTGGCCTGACTGCCATACTGTACCCACAGCCGGTCACCTCCAATTCTTGTGGTTATTCTACAACACCATGTCATCTAACAACACCCACTTTGGACAACTCAACTTCTGTGGACTAGAATGTGAGTTAGAAAGGAAAGGGAACACTCTAGAGAGCAGAGCCCTCCTTTCAGAAGAGTGAAGGACTAGCTCAGCTGGTGACATTACCAGTACTTCTAGGTTTTGACCCACAGTTTAGAGACTCTTCCATTCTTTGAAGTGAGTCATTCAACAGGAAGCTCTGACGCTCTGTAGGCTATTTTCAACTTAGCTGAGAGGTGAGACTCTAATAACTAACTCATCAGCAGAAGATGCAAGTCATGCAGCTCAGGGTTGCGCACTGCAGATGGGCACATGACAGTTCCAAAAGGAGCGATGGAGACAAGGAACAAGAAGCTCTGAACAGAGGGAGACAGTGAAAGGGTGGCCCTTTGCATGGAGCTCTAGGGAAAAATAAGCACAGGCTCTCTGTGAGGTGACTAGGACAGAAAGCAGGTCGTGGAAGGACAGGTACTGATCAGACATAGCTGTGGTGGCAGAAAGACAGGGAGCATGTTAGGAACATGACAGGTATCTGAGGGAGCTGCTAAGTCAGTGAGGTGGTAGGAAGATCCAGTTGGCAGTACTGCCAGACACTGCTGGGGAGAAAACAGAATGAGAAATGAAGAAGTTTGTCTGGGAGTCAAGAGCCAATTTCTCATTTATATTCATTATACAGATTGATCCCATTTTCACACATTTATTTCATTCATAAAGTGAGTTATACTCTAAATCCATACACATACACAAACATATACACAGTGTGGTGACCACACAAATATCTATCTAGATATGTTTCTTGCCTTGTTTGTGTGAATCTATATATTTATAACATCTTTCAAGCCAAGGGTCTCACTCTATTGTCCAGGCTAGCCTCACTAGGACAGCTCAGCCTGAGCAGTGGAGACCACAGGCATATGGAAAGAAAGCCTCAGTACTGGCAAGCAGTGCAGGAGCCAAGTAAGTGTGAGGCCCTGTCTATCCCTAACACTGAAGAAGAAGGAAAAAAGCCCCATTCTTCACAGTTCTTACCTGGTTGGAGTTTGCTGGGATGCAGTTGTGTTCCAGCTCCAGGGAGGGGAGGAGGGCTTGCTCCTGAAGGTCCAGCAGCCTGTGCTGGGCTCACACTGGTCAGAGTCCCTGTAGGCAATGGCTGGCCTCTCTTTAACAGCTGCTTCTGTTCTTGCTGGCGAAAGCGTGGAGGCACCTCCCGAGGCAGGTAGCGGGATGCAGCTGTCTGCTGGCCACAGGCAGATGCACGTTTGCCATTGTTGCTGCTAGAGATAGTGCTGGTGGAAGTACTGGTACCGGCAGGTTGGGGCTGGCTTGAACAGTTCTTAGTAAGTTCTGGCACTGAAACGATCCAAAGGAGAAAAAAAAAATGACCCAAAGGTTTAGTAACCTCTTAAAACTCAAACAAACAAACAAACAAACAAACAACCCCACAGCTCCCAAAGACACAGCGCTCTTGCTGAGTGCATCTCTACGTCACCTACCCTGTGCCTTCTGATAGTAACAATACAATGCTCTGCAGCTTGGGTTACGTCAATGACTAGAGTGAGTACTATGGAGACTCAGAGTGGGCATTTATGGAGACATACCTGCAACACTACAGACTTGTTGACAAGGATATAGGTGACATGTTTTACCAACACTAACAAGCATGTCAATGAAAAAGACAATGTGTGTCAGGTACAAAAAAAATCTAACCCTCAATACTCAGACCTACCTTCATCTTGAATGTGAACTATTATCCAGAATATATAGACGGAAAGTTTCCATGTACTTAATTTTTGACTGTCTTTCCTTCTATGTCTGAATAAAAACTTTGTACAAATGAATAGAAACAATTCTGGAAATCTTTCTATTTTATTTTTATGTGCTGAAGTGTTTTGTCTCTATGTGCAGCAATGTGTGTGCCTGGTGCCCATAGACGCAAGAAGAGGGTGTCAGATCCCCTGGAACTGGAATTACGGGTAGTTGTGTGCTGCTATGTGGGTTTTGGGAATGGAATCTGGGTCCTTTGGAAGAGTAGCCAATGTGCTTGACCACTGATCATTCTCTCAATATCAGGGACAGTAAACTCCTCTAAGTCATAGCTTCTCTAAGACAGCACAAGGATCTGTAAGCTAGTTTTCCTTCCATCAGCAACTCCAGTTAGCCTGAGTCTGGTCTGCCAGCCTGGACTTTATTGTACACTAGGTTACCATTACCATTCAGGGCCTTTCCTATCTTTCTGTTGTTACTTGTGCCTATCAAGAAAGCCACTGACGCTCTTTTTATACTGACTCAGACTAAGTAAAACTCTCTGAGTCCCCTCCCCACTTCTTTTTTCTTCTAGACAGGGTCCTGGAACTCACTTTGGACACCAGGCTGGCCTGGCCTCAAACTCACAGAGATCCTCCTGCCTCTGCCTCCTGAGTGCTGGGATTAAAGGCATGTGCCACCATGCCCAGCTTTAGGGTGCCCTTTCTAGAGCAAATTCCAGTCCTCAGTGCTTCCTGTTAATCCTGTGTTCCTGTGTCAACAATTCACCCAAGGTCTTTCATTTCCAAGCCTCTAATGCATTATTACTCTGCCTTAGCCTCTCATTCCCAGAAGACAAATGTGACTTTCGTACGCAGAAAAAATAGAAACATTCGGGAAAAGCTTCCTGAATTTTTGGCACTACAAAAACACGACCATCACACTGTTCCTTGTGCTTCACATCCGCCAGTTCTACTCTAGGACTGAGACTGTAGTCTCTCACTGTGCGGTTCATCCCTCAAATGCTCACACCAGAGAGAGGCACTGTTTATTTTCTTCTTTCTTAGTGGCATGTGCGTACCTGATGGGCCTCAGGATCAGTGGCTGGGCTGGGAAAAGAGAAGCAAGATGGATGCCCTGAATTTGCCACCCAAGACTTTCTTCAGAGCACAAATGAAAAACTAAAGATTGGGTCTTAGATTAACCTGTTTTACAGATGTTTACATTTATTCCTGCTTTAATATGGCAGATACCAAGAATTTAACAGTCACTCATGTTCCCACAGAGGGTGGAAAAATGCACATTTCTTCAACATCCTTTGAGAACCACCCTTCTCCCTGGATCCCAGTTCTTCCAGCTTCCTTCCAATCTCTCTTCTCCGTGAAGTCAGAGACAGTCTTGGAGAGTCTGTGTAAGCTGCCTCTTCCTGCTCCTAATTTCCCATCCTTCCCTGTCCTCTTTTTTGGTTTGTGGTGTTTTTGTTTGTTCACGGATGCCACACTGTGCAAGTTGAAAATGACTTCCTGGTGCTTAAACCCAAGGCCGCCTTCTGATTTGATGTTCTCACTTCTAGTCGTCAGGGCCAAGCCTTCTCCTATGGTCACAGTGAGAGCCACAAAGATGACTAAGGCACTGACAACAGAGCCACTGAATGAGAACTAGAGTTGTGCTTTCAACTGCCAGTCCAGGTCTCTTCTATTATCCTGTTACCATTTTTAACAAAAGACCAAAGGAGTCAGGAAGATGACTCATCAGGTAAAGGGTCTTGCCACATAAACTTGGTGATATGAGTTCAATTCCTGGAGCCCATGTAAAAGGAAAAGGAGAAAATGGATCACACAAAATTCTCTGATCTCCACTTGAGGCTGTGTCAAACACACCCACCCATCCTATGCAATATCAACTAATTAATGAACTAGACCACAAAGTCAGGGCTATTTTTATTATTGTTAAACCTATTACAGGAAACAAAATTCATGTAAATCAGCCACTTTATTTTCAGTCTAAGCCACCAAAGTTTAAGACCTATGAATACAGAATATTCAGTTCTCCTTGGCTGGCATATCAAGTGTGTCTGATATCCATGAATCCTCCTCTTGCCCTTCACAACTGCTATCTGGCAGGACAAAGACTGGTAGAAATAAAGAAGAATGCTTCTCACAGTTTTGAAGCATGGGAGGAAGAAACCAAAGTAATGAATAGGAGAGACCAATTATGGTCTCCTAACTCTAAACTAGTTACCACCCAGCCCTTCATAGGACAAGTTTGCTGTTTACTACATAGGAACAGACACTATTTGTACTATTAGACTACACACAAGTCTTCTAAAAACAGACTGCAGCCATGCATCCAAGTCTACTGCACACACCTCATATCCTTTGCTGGTCATCACCATGCAATGAAAAGGGGAGGTGGCACTTTTAATGGAGAAAGGCACAGGAAATAGCACATTCCAGAAGCATTAGCTCCTTTCTGGAGACAGTGCCTTCTCTCGATCCCAGCAGTGAGCTCCAGCAACAAGAGTATAGTGATTATTTTATTTATATTTTAATGAATAAAACTTGCCTAAAGATCAGAAGGGCAAAGCTAAGCCACTAGAGGTCAATCAGTGGTGGCACACACTTTTAATCCAGGCAGAAGGATCTCTGTGTGTTCAAGGCCACCCTGGGCTATATAAAATCAATGTAGAAACAAATCCAAGTGGTGGCTCACACCTTTAATCCCAACACGAAAGGGAATATAAAATGGGAGGAGAGAGAGGCTCTGTCTGCTTAGTCTGCAGTCACCCTGCCTTGGGTGCTTTGCCTTTCGGGTTGAACCCCAATATCTGACTCTGGGTTTTTATTATTTGTAGAGAGCCACATGCATCAGGCTGGTCAGAAGGAACTGCCTATCTCTTACCTCTTCTTGGGTACTTTACATCAACAGACTTCACATTTTTGTTCTTCGTCCTGCCCTAGGCCATCCAAGAGTGGACACCCACACTCACACGGCCTCCTCTTTGAAACCCAAATACAACTCCAGTGTTGCTCCAGCTCTGACCTGGCTTTATCTTCAGTTGTCAGCTGGACAGGGCCACTTGGAAGTCATTTATTTCCCTTCAAATGAAAATATCCACGAGTGGAGCACCAAGTCCCTGGGGATGAGTCAAGCATCTCTCTCTATAGGAGAGCACTGAAGCACAACTTATGATTTCTTACCCCAATGAACTAACGACTGAGGAAATAAAGAACTGTAGCCACATGTGGCTACTAAATGCTACATGCACTAACTGCAATATGTTGTGCATATAAGACACAGATTATCCTCAAGGCCAAGGGTGGTGGCATGGGCCTATAATCTCAGGACAGGGGAGTGAAGGCAGAATGGTCAAGAGTTCAAAGTCATCTCAGCTGCATAGCAAGTGTAAGGACAGCCCGAACCACACACCCAGGCTCAAGAGAAACTCTGCTTCAGTCACCTGCATGGTGAGCTAAATGGAGTTTCTTCTCTTTCCTGAGGATCAAACTCAGAGCCTCACAGACGCTAAACAAATACTCTGTCAATGAGGCAAACATTCAGCCCTTTGCATTATGCTTCTGTTAGACAGGAGTGATCTAAAAAATGGTGATGTGCTCCTTAAGAAGTTTGAGCAGGTTTCTCAGAAATATATTACATTTAATGATTTATTCTCTTAAAGGTTGAAACAACTCTGTACTACACAGTGAGTTACTAGCATGTTGTTTTACATATGGAAAAATGTCACCTACAATATGTTCCACCAGCGAACAGATTGAGGCTCCTGACCTAGGTGCTAATTTTCAGAGAGTTTCCAACTGCCCGAGGGCTAACACCTTGGGCTGGTCATCTGGGACCCAAAGTAGTAAGGAGGCCAGCCAACAGTTCTGAACCGGGGCAAGCTCATCTGCTGGGCCTTTTTATGTGATATGCTGATCAAAGTCTCTCTGGTTTAAGCCACTATTTCTTGGCTCTCTGAAAGTACCTAGCCACATGGGGCTACATGCTTTTTTTCAGACCTAAATTTCTGATTCTATCCCTACTCCCAAGAAATAGGATGTCAAGACCACCCTCTTCTTCAAATAAATGAATCTAGGGTCACATTACAAAAGAACAGTTATAGGCTGGAGAGATGGCTCAGAGGTTAAGAGCATTGCCTGTTCTTCCAAAGGTCCTGAGTTCAATTCCCAGCAACCACATGGTGGCTCACAACCATCTGTAAGGGGGTCTGGTGCCCTCTTCTGGCCTGCACGCATACACAAAGACAGAATATTGCATAATAAATAAATAAATAAATAAATACAGTTATTTAAAAAAAAAACTTTCAGTAGGCTAAAAAGTTTAGTTCCTCTGGGGAATCAGTAGTTCACATTTCTTAAGTGAGGGCGACACCTGCTAGCAACATTCTCTGAAAATAATTTTTTAAGAAGCAAATTTTTGTTTTCTGTTAAGGAGTACATCAGCACAGTCACAACTGACCAAGTAGCTCCAAAAACCCCACAGTGTCAAATCCTTCCACAGACCACGCTACAATGACTTAGAAACCCTTTCCAAACTGATAATAGTCTCAGCATCTCTAAGAGCCCAAGGAACACAAATTGTGCCTTAGT